TCAAGGCATTCTCTAAGTAATTGTGAAATAAATTGTGTGAATAGTAATTGTATAGGCAAGCAGAGGAGAGATTACTTTAGATTGGTCTGGTCAGAAAAGCTTCACAGAAGGTGTATAATTTGAGCTGAGTCCTGAAAAAGAATAACTTAAATTCCTATAGCTCTTTACAGTTTAAAAAGCATTTTCTTTGCAAACAACCTCAACTACAGGGCAGGCATTATTATTCCCATTTTAGAGATGAGAAAACTGAGGCATCCAGAGAGGTTAAGGTGACTTTCCCAAGTAAGTGATGAAGTCGGGACTAGAAGTCACATCTTCTTTCTCTAGTTCTAGCAGTTTTCTGTCCCTGTATCATGTTGCTTCGTGCCCTGAATCTGAATATGATTTGGGTGGGCCAAGAGTAGTGGGGGTGGCATTCTGAGGAAGTGACATGGCTTTAAGGAAACACATGTCTGCGTCCAGCCTGTCTGCAGAGAAAGAGCAGATTGGACTGTGACTGTTACACCCGCGGGGCAGCTGGCATGGTCCAGCTCTGTAGGCGGAACTCTCTGGGCCAAACTTGTCCTTCCCCATGACTCGAAGAATGTTACTATTCCAGAGCAGATGCATCTTTGATCCAAGTAAGCAGAACTGATGGAGCGGAATCCAACCCCCAGACACAGTCACAAAGGGCGGCTGCTCAGGTAACAGTAAATGATCAGCCGTGTCAAATCATGATAACATGCAGGACTTAGGGGTTGCATGTGTGGCTTCAGCACCTTCCGGGCCATTGCCAGAAATCTGGGCTGCAGATTAAGTTACCATCCTTCTGATGCTGGTTAGTTCATTGCCGAGGAATTCTGAAATGCAGAACAGTTCCATCCAGAACCAGCCAGTAAGCATGGGCGTTGTTGCCCTTGTTTTGATAGGGGCGGGTCTGTTCTGCTTGAGAAAATACAGCTCATGAGCCCAGATGCCAATAGGGCTGCCCCCTGCCCAGGGCATCAGGGCTTCACAGACACTAACCTGCAAATTCCACGTACTGCCCTTGGGAGACTCACAAGATAGATGTTAATTCTGAGGGCCTTTATTAATCCCCTACTGCATGCGAGGTTATGTGCTGGACCTTGGAGATTGAGAGGTAAATATGACCCTGGCCCTGCTTTCAAGAAACCTACAATCTAATAGGAGAAGGACAAGGTACAAAAGTCTGTGATACAAGGGAGAGGGAAATAAGTGAAAAGGAAGGATTCAGGTTAAGTGCAGGAAGATATTTTAAGGGCAGACAGAGGGGTAAGGGGTTAGGGGGATGGGAGAGAGGCAGTCTGCTTTTCAAAGCACTTTGACCTTATGCAGAACTAGAATATGTTGGAGCTAAGGAAGTTGTAGAGATTCACCAATCTAGCCATGGCATTTGACAGATGTGGAAACTAAGGCTCAGGGAGGACAGTGGGAGCTTAGGGGATTAGAGTCAAAGTTAGAGTTAGGCTCTTTCTGTAGTACCATACATGCCTTTATACATACCTTTCCTTTGAGGGAATGGCATTATCTGTTGTACACAGAGCTGCTTCCTTTCTTATGTGCTGACAATCCTGGCAATAACACACACACACACACACACACACACACACACACACCCTCTGCCAAGTTGTTATTTTCCAGCTTACGAAGAGGTAAGTAAGAGTTAGAAACACAGTGAATAATGTCCTGGGACTTCTGATTCTTTGGGGTTGTTATGTGAGCCCATGGTATAAACTGTTGACAGAGAAGGATTTGTTGTTCAATTTTTCACTTATGCCTGACTCTTTCTGACCCTGTGGCTGTAGGACACTAGGACCGTCTGTCCAGGTTCATATTTGTTGTTTCCATGACACCATCCATCCATCTCATCCCCTGCCATCCCCTTTTTCCTTCATTCTTTGCTAACATCAGGAACTTTTTCCAATGAGTCCTGTCTTCTGACTATGTGACCAAAAAGGGGCAAATGAGATAAGAAATGTAAAAGGGGGTCAATCGATGAGTGTTTACGCTGAGTTTTTAAAAAATCAGCTTCACAGGCATAAGTTTTGGGAAGCATTGGCTCAACAGCAGTTGAGAATATGTAAGAAAAATCTGGAGGTTTTAGCGGACCTCAGGCCGAGTATGTGTCAGGGCTCTAACATATCAGCCAGAAAAGCTCCTGCCATCTTAAGTTTCAACAAGAAAGATGAAATGTACATAATAAGGGAGAGGGAAGTCTCGTATCTGCTCTGGTCAGATCACATCTGAAGGTTTGTGTTCAATTATGGGCAACACGGTTTAGCAAAGACACGGACAGAGGGATCACGTTCAAAGAAGAGACAACCAGAATGGTTGGGGCTCTGCTCCAATTCCAGACAAAGAAACGTCACTTGGAGGAACTGGAAATGTACAGCCTGGAAAAGAGAAGACTTGGGGAAACCCAGCAGCTTTCCTCAAACAGTATATCACAGGCAGGGCTGAGACTGTTTTGTGTGGCCCCAGTGGGCAAGACCAGGAGCGGTGGTGAACGACAGCTATTTTCAGCAATACAACAATCCAGGGCAGCTCTGAAGGACTTAGGCTGAAAAGTGCTGTCCATCTCCAGACAGAGAACTGATGGTGTCTGAATACAGACTGAAGCATACTCTTCTACTTTATTTTTCTTGTGGGTTTTTTTTTTGGTCTATTTTCTTTCACAACATGACTGTTATGGATATGTTTTGCATGACTACACATGTATAACTTATATCGAATTGCTTGCCTTCTCAATGGGGGGTGGAGGAAGGGAGAGAATTTGGAACTCATAGTTTTAAAAACGAATGTTAGAAGTTGTTTTTACATGTAACAGGGGAAAATAAAATACTAAATAAAAGGAGAGAGAAAAAAAAGACAAGGAGCAGTGGGGGCAAATGTCAGACATGGCTTCTGCTTCAATTAAGCAAAACTTCCTTACAATGAGAACTGTCCTGATGTGGAATGGGCTGCGTAAAGGAGGCAGACGATGCCATATCACAGGAAGACTTGTGCCACTTGTCAGCAGCCTTCTGATGGGCGACTCCTGTTTGGGAATGGATTGGACTAGATGCCCAGGAGGGAATCTTTCACCTCTCAGAAAATGCCAGTATTTTTGGCATCAGTCAGTTTGTTCACAAATAGCCAACATGTGGAACCAAGACTGACCAGCATTTTATGTTTCTCCACACTAGCCAGAGTGTGCTTTTCAATGTACATGCATAGTTTAAAATAAATGCTCCGCTGTTGGCCGTGGTGTGGGGTTTAAGATTGTCTTTTTACAGAAAACCAAAACATAAGCCTGGTTATGGTGAAATGATTCCACTTGTCCTAAAAATAAAGTTAATGTAATTCAGAACTGAAAGGAGATGGCAACCCCAGCCCAGTTTTCAGGGGAGCATTCCCAGTGCCAAGCTCAGAGAGAGTTTATTAATTAACATGCAGATTGAGATGAGCATAACATGACAGCCTGTGTCATATACGTATCTGGTTAGTGGCATCATTAATACATGATATTGATGTTTATCAAACTTTAGTTTGTTGCTATTAACTTTGAAATAAACGATTTGAGGAAAAACTTTCTTGAGAAAGGGATCAGTGGAATTAGTCGGGTGCCCCTTAGTTATTCCCACTGCGGAATTGGAATCATGAGCCAAACTCAGGTTCAAAAGGTGTGTATTAGGAACAAAAGATAGCAAGGGGAGATGGGAAAAATCATGAGGATAACCTCACTTTTCTATGTCTCTTTAAGATTCCCAAAGCTATAATACAGCTATAGTTGATCCCCATTTTACAGATGTGGAAACTGAGACTGAGATGTAAAGTGTCTTGTCTGAGGTCGTAGGAGCTACTAAGTTTCAGAGCCTGAATTCAAACCCAGGACTTCTGACTCTAAGCTTGGCAGGAGGAGCCAGGGCTTGTATATTGACCTGGCTCTGGGGATCGTGTAGTGCCTTGTGACAGGACATATTGACAATCAGAATCAACACTGAGTTTGAACCCAGAAGAAAGTGAATAGAGACATGGATTATTCAGCCAATGAGGAATTGCTTTCAAAAAGCTATGCTGTCACTTCTAAAATTTTCCAAAGTTGAAATTTGGTATGCAAGGCAGGAAGAGTTGGGTGGCGGCTGAGGAGGAATCCTCTGGGCTTTAGCATTGTTGGGGAAGGCAGTCATGTAAGCTCACAGCTCACATCCCTCCAGAGCTTTAAGGTCCCCAGAGGGCTTGCTCTTCTTGAAGCAGCATACACTAAGAGAAGTATTCTTAGCCCACCAAGGTGATATGACTTGTGTTGAGTCACACGGCTAAAATGCATCAGAATTGGGATGAAAACCCAAGTCTCTTGGGTCCAAGTCCAAACCCTCTTTCCAAACTTTCCAAAGGGGAAGTCCTTGTGGTCGTGTTTGCCTTTCTGCCTCTGCCACAAGCAGAAATGAGGGCCCTGAAGGAGCCATCCCATCAGTGAGTCACCCCTAAGATAGTGAAGAAGGAAGCAGCTGGTATTAAGGCACCATTAAAAGCTACCTGTGTAGCAGATTTGCCAGCAGGGTAATGCTTGGTCAGCTGCCTGGAAAGTATTGGCTGCTCCACCCAGCCTGGAAGCCTGTGGGAGTCCTCAGGCAGAGAAGCTGCATTTATGCTTCTGGCCACCCTTTGGGTCCCTGTGCGTTTGGGGTATTTACCCGATTCTCAGTCTTCAATATGCATTTCACCCACCAGAGGTATACAGTATGTGCTGGGTTTTATTAGGCCACACTAGTGACTTCCCAATTAAAATTGAGCTTGTTTTTGAGCAGAGACCATGCTGTGATTCAAGTCCAAGTTTCTTTATAGAGAGGACATGGCTGGTGTTAAAGATACATTTGTGGAAAAGAAGACCAATCCTGTAGTTTGGGCAAAATACCAAGAGACCAGATGTTCAATCGACTGACCACAGTGTGGCCACTTGCCAGCCTCACAGTGATGTGTGTCATTTTAACCCCTTCTTTTCTCTTTCTGCCTGGCAGGTCCCCAGCCTATGTGAAGATCTTCTGTCCTCTGTCGATCAGCCCTTGAAAATTGCCAGAGATAAAGTGGTGGGAAAGGATTATCTTTTATGTGACTACAACAGAGACGGAGATTCCTATAGGTGAGCTCCTGCCCTAAATTCAGTCAGGCGGGGCAGTACCAACCTTTGAGCAGCTGCCCCACAACAAATCTCTGGGGTCAGATAGAGGTGGGGAAATTGAGGCTCACCGAGGTTAAGTGAAGTTACTTAATCTGTCTGAAATGCCAAAAGGGGGTTCACTTAACCTTGTGGATCCTCGGTTTCCTCATCTGTTTCATGGGATTGAAAGGGACCCGAGAGATTATCTCTGGAGAAAGAAACAGGCTAGGAGAGGAAGGCAGCCTGGGGTAGTGGGAGGAGAGCAGCCCCAGGAGGCCTTGGGGCCCTTGGCTGGAGGGATCACGAGTGCCCTCTAACTCACCTGGGAGAACAGCTTGGGAGCCCCTCCAGAGTCCCTGGCCTCTTGGAGTCTCAATTCGAATGGCTTTGGAATGGTTTCAAAGAATGTGGAAAGGGTTTTCACTGGTTTTTCATAGCCTTTAATGCTGTTGATATGATAATAAGGATTTCTGGATTGTGTCTACTTATGTGTGCAGACACCAGCTTATTTATGAATGGATTTGATGTTGGTGCTCTGTGTGTTGGCAGATGGCACCTTCTCAAGCAGAGGGGACATCTCTGAGTTAGGGCTTTTAAATGAACTCATTTAGTTTTTAACTTTAAAGTTATACTTGACGACAATTTCTTGGTGTTTTTGTTATTTTTTTATCTCTGATAACTCAGCCGCTGTTTTCTACATCTTTTGTCATCCTCCTACTCATTAAATTTCAGTATTTCCCGATCACCTGCAGAAGCAAGTGTCTGGTGTTCAAAGCCCTTCATAGCCTGCCTCCCCTGCACACGCTCCCACCCTGTTCCAGTCTTCTCACCCCTTGTGTTGCTTCTCTCTCTCCTCCACCCCCAGTTGCCCCTCTTGCTGTTCCTTGAAGAGGCATTCCACACATCCACTTCTCTGCTTCAGGAATTTCCCCCAGCTGTCCCGGTGCCTGGAATGCTCTCCCTCCTCAGCTCTGCGTCCAGCCTCAAGTCCCCAGCTTCTTGATTTTGGTGCCTTTTTCCTGTTGATTCTCCTACAGATCCCATCTATTGTTTGTTGTCTGTGCCAAGGGCAAGAACTGTCTTTTGCCTTCTTTGTGTCCCAGACTCTTTTTTTTTCTTTTTTAAAAATTTATTTAATTTTTAATTTATGGAATAAAACAAGCATTTCCCTAACATAGTATAACAGAAAAGATGATTGCACATGAAGCTGAAAATCTACATGTACAACTTGCTGTTCCTTTTAAATATACAACAAAGTTATCATGTAAATTTCTCTTTTTATTTTTCCCTCCCCTCCACCCTGCCCTAAAGATGGCATGATTTTTTTTTTAATTTTTTAACATTTCTTTTTAAAGTTTTGAGTTTCAAATTCAACCCCTCGCTTCCTTCCTCTCTCCTTTCCTCCCTGAGTGGTAAGCAATCAGATATAAATTATACATGTGCGATTATGTAAGACAATTCCATGTTATTTTTTACAAGAAGACTTGAATAAAAGAAAAAGAATGAAAGAAAGTGAAACATAGCACGCTTCCATCATCAGTCAATATTAGCTCTTTCCCTGGAGGTAGATTGTATGCTTTGTCATTAGTCCTTTGAGATTGTCTTGGATTATTGTATTGCTGACAATAACTAAATCATTCACAGTTCTTCACTCAACTATTTTGCTATTACTGTGTACAGTGTTGTCTTGTTTCTGTTCACTTCATTATGCATCAGTTCACATAAGTCTTTCCAGGTTTTTCTGAAATCATCCTGCTTGTGATTTCTTACAGCACGATAGTATTCCATTACATTCATGTACCACAACTTGCTTAGCCATTCCGCAATTGATGGGCATCCCTTTGATTTCCAATTCTTACCCACCACACAAAGAGCTGCTATAAATATTTTTGCACAAATAGATCCTTTTCGCCTCTTTTGGATGTCTTTGGGATGTAGATCTAGCAGTGGTATTGCTGGATCAAAGGGTACGCACAGTTTTATAGCCCTTTTATGCATAGTTTCAAATTTCTCTCCAGAATGATTGGATCAGTTCACAACTCCACCAACAATGCATCATATCCCAGACTGTTAACAAATCCTTATCAACTGACTGACTAATAGGGATACCACAAAGACGTGTAACTATTTATTTTCATTAGTTTCATTTTTGGACTTTTTTTTTTAGCTGAATAAAACAAGCATTTATATTAATACCATTGCTTTTTAAGCCCCAGATGAATTTAACAGGGCTTGTCCTTCTGTTTGAATATGGGCCAGCTCATTTACAGATGTACCCATTTCTTACCTGCAGGTGGTACCATATATGTATACATTTGCACACGTACATGTTCTCGGAAGCTTCCATTAAATTCTCATTGACTTCACTGAGCAGCAATGGTTGTTATAAAAACCTTAGCATTTTGCTTTAAAAGCAAAATGTTCCAAGTCCTAGCCCTAGGCAGGATTTATAGATAGATATGAACCCAAGTATCCTCTTCAGGCCTCTCAAGCAAAATCTGAAGACAGCCCTTCTCTCAGACTACGCTCTTAGCACAGTTAATTCCTGGTTGTGGACCATTGCAAGAACCAACCACTTGCAGCAGCTTGCTCTGTCCTGGGCCTGTAGCCCTGATTTGGCTCTAATGAGAATGGCGCAGCCAGCCCCAAGGTTTCCTTAAGAGATGGGAAACTGGTGTTCCCAGAAAGCCACCTGAGCGTGTGTGACATTACCCTGAGTTTACACGTGCTCCCTAGGATCTTCTGTCTTTGTGCCCAGAGATTAAACATTTCATGTTTCGAGTGGTGTGCGTTCTTCATTCTAGTACCATCAGGAGAAGAGAGGTCTCCCCGCTTACTCACACAGGAGGCCTTGTGTTGTCGTGGGAAGAGTCCTGCATTTGGTCACAGGAGAGTTGGCTTTGAATTCCATATTGTCTGTGTGGCCTTGGACAGTCTCTCTCTCCAAGCCTCAGTTTACTTACTTATAAAACAGGAGGTATAATGATACTTACCCCACAGGGTGGCTGGGGTGTTAAGAGAGGACTAGCACCTCTTGTGTGATGGCTGCTCACCCATCTTTGGTGTCCACTTTCACCCAGACCTCACCTGTGACTCCAAGAAGCTGTAGCATGAACATCGACCACCCTCCGATAAACTTTCTCAACAGACAGGCTCAGCTAGGTTGGGGGTAAGAGACAGGCCTCAGACCTGTTGGTGAGTTAGGGGGATGTCTACCCCGGCCACGTGAAGACTTCCCCTGGTGTGATGGGCAGATGAGAACAGTTTGTTCCAGTGGCCGTGAAGGCAGCTGAAGCAGGCGCTGCGGAGCACTTAGAGCTTGGTCAGACGGCAGAGATGCCAAGGCCATCCCAGTCATTCTGACTTTAGTCTTGTCACTGCACTTAACCTCTGCCTCACTTACATCTAAGAGTGCAGGGAGTGCCAGGAGCCAAGCATGGCAGGATGCTGACTGGCAAGCTCCAGGTGACCTGGGGTGTCAGGCCGTTTCCCAGAACTGGGCCTAGGTTTTCTGCTGTGGGGAATTAGACGCCACCCATAGCTGCTATCAGGTGAGCATTTCAGCCTCTTCAGCCTAAGGGTCATTCATCAGGGCCATGTGGGCAGAATGGTATCCCAGATAAGGCAGAAAGCACAGCAAGGAGAAAAGAGGGAAAGAAAGAAGAGAAGGAGGAATGGCAGAGAGGAATAGCCAGATAGAACTGTTAATTTAAAAAATAATAAATTATTTGGGTTTTTGTTTTTAGGGGGTTTTTTTTGGTTACATTTTAAGTTCCAAACTGTCTCCCTTCCTACCCTATATTAGAGAAGGCCGCTTTTGGACACAGATTTATCAGTTCTTTCTCTGGAGATGGATGGCATCTTCCTTTATAGATCCTTTGTAGTTGATATGAGTATTAGTTGTTCTTTGAACAATACTGCTGTTACTGTATATACAACGTTCTCTTGGTTCTACTCATTTCACTTTTCATTAATTCATATAAGTCTTTCCATGTTTTTCTAAGATCAACCAGCTCATCATTTCTTTCAGCACAGTAGTATCCATCACAGTCATATACCACAACTTGTTTAGCATTTCCTCCATTCTCCAAATGATGGGCATGAACCATTGACTTTTAATGGTAAAAAAAAAAAAACTTTAGAGGTTATCTAACAGTCAGAAGAATCTAGTGCTGTCACTGATTATTGCTATATGATTGTAAAGAACTTTCTCTTTCCTGGCTTTCAGTTTCTTCATCTATCAAAAGGTAAGGGTTGAAAGATTCATTTGGAAGAACAAAAGGTCCAGAATATCAAGGGAATTAATGAAAAGAAGTGCAGGAGAAGAAGGTGGCCTAGCCATTCCAGTTCTTAAATTGTATTATAAAGCAGCAATCGTCAAAACTATTTGGTACTGGCTAAGAAATAGAGTGGTGAATCAGTGGAATAGGTTAGGTATACAAGACAGTAGTCCATGACTATAGTAAGCTACTGTTTGGTAAACCCAAAGACCCCAGCTTCTGGGATAAGAACTCACCATTTGATAAAAACTGCTGTGAAAACTGGAAACGAGTACTGCAGACACTAGGCATAGACCAAAATCTTAACATCCTATACCAAAATAAAGTCATAATGGGTTCATGATTTAAATATAAAGGCTGAATGAAACTGTAAGCAAACTGGGAGAGCAAGGAATAGTTCACCTCTCAGATTTATGGAGAACAGAAGAATTTATGACCAAACAGGAGAACATTATGAAAAGCAAAATGGATAATTTTGATTAGAATAAATTGAAAATTTTTTGCATAAACAAAGCCAATGCAACCAAGATTAGGAGGGAAGGAATTTTTACAACCAATATTTCTGATAAAGGCCTCATTTCTAAAATATGTAGAGAACTAAGTCAAATTTATAAGAATACACATCGTTGCCCTATTGATAAATGGTGAAAGGATATGAATAGGCAGTTCTCAGATGAAGAAATTAAAGCCATCTGTAGTCAC